GGCACTGATAGGCAGCACTAAAGGGCACTGATAGGCAGTATAATGAGGTGGCACGGATAGGCGGCACTGATAGACAGCACTAATTAGCGGTCACGGATAGGCGGCACTGTTTTTATGCAGCACTGATAGGCGGCACTGATAGGTGACACTGATGATGGGTTACTGATAGACGGCACGACTGGCATCACTTCTGGCACTGACTGGCGGCACTTGGCACAACCCCTGGGCACTGACTGGTGGCACTGACTGGCAGCACTGCTGGGCTTGGGTGGCACTGGTGGGCAGCACTGGTGGGTGGGGCACAGGTGGGGGGCACTGGTGGGCACAGGTGTGTGGCACTGGTGGGCACAGGTGGGTGGGCACAGGTGGGTGGCACTGCTGGGCACATGTAGGTGGCACTTCTGGGCACAGGTAGGTGGCATTGGGGGCACTGCTGGGCACAGGTGGGGGCACTGCTGGGCACAGGTGGGGGCACTGCTGGGACGGGTGGGCGGGGCTAGTGGGCGCACTGCTGGGCGGAACTTGCGGGTGTCGCTGCTGGGCACCGATCATCAGGGCACTGATCATCAGTGCCCTGATGATCGGTGCCGATCCCCGGCTGACAACTGCCGGTTCTCGGCAGTACTTTCCTCACGATCTGACAGTGTGAGGAAAAGTGCAGCCGAGAACTGGCACTTGCATTTCCCTGTGATCAGCGTGTCATTGGACACCGCTGATCACGTGGTAAAAGGCCGGTGGGATCGGTTCACGTGATCAGCTGTGTCCGTAGGACACAGCGATCACGGAGATCGCTGGGTGCGCGCCCCCTGGGGCGCGCAGGAGAGCTGCACTGGGAGGACGTCATATGACGCCCACTCAGAACTGGCCGGCTGCGGTGAAGCCGTCATTCGGCTATGCGCGGTCGGCAAGAGGTTAATAGGGAGATTTGTAAACAACTAAAAACGTGGTGTGGTTTGTTTCAAGTTTTTTTAACCACATGCCGTCCAGCCACTGTAGAAATACGGCGGCAGGGCAAAAACGGCTGGGCAAAATCACGTTTTAAAACGTGTGTTTTTAAAACAGGTAGGGGGCGCGCACAAGGCGCGCCGCCGCCCTACCTGTCCCACCAATCACGGCCGCGGTGTCAGTCGCCGGGTCACAGCTGGTTGTTACCGACTATGTCCCGGCGATTAGCGGCAATCAGTGACAGAGAGCACAGCTGCAGTAGCTGTGCTTTCTGTCAGTTCCCTGACAGCTCCTGACACACTGATCAGGACAGAAGAGTTTATCTGTCCCGATCAGTGGTGTTCCCTGCAGTACACACCGCCGCCCCCTAGTAAAACACTCCCCTCACACAGTTAACCCTTTTACTGAATAATAAAGTTAACCCCTTCCTCCCCAGTGCCATTAGTACAGTGTCAGTGTTTTTTTTTTATGCATAGTATGTCTCTGAAATATTAAAATTGAAGGCACAGTCGCAGTTTAGAAATTGCCCTTCAACTTTCAGGTGGCTAGAGTGGAGTTTCAAAGAATGTCAATGGGCGGCGTGAGTTGCAAACAAAAGATCATATTGTGAAAACTATCAGGACTATGGCTTAGCCGTGGACATTTTTAGTGGCAGCAGGGACAGTTGAACGTTTTGATATACGATTTGTGTAGGTGGGCTTGAACATGAGGGAGTGATGGCAGTTTAGAAATCATGTCCTGATTTTTCAGCTCCCACTCTAGTTTTAAACATTCCGCCATTCATTCCTATGGGACCAATTTCACCACAAAAACGCCGATTTTTGTGAACCATTTGGCGAAACGTTCCACAAAGTAATAGCACACCAATCGGGGAACAATCTGCACGTTTCGCTATATTACTGTCTATGTAGTGTAAAAACTGTGGGAGGAGTTAGGGTGGTAAATTTGGCTATAATAATAAGAATATATATGTGAGATAACAGTAAGTGGTCGCCATGGAAGAACACTTAATAATAATGTCAGCTCATGCATAGGCATTCTGCGTGTCTCTGCCCAACTGCGCTGGGGGTTGTTATGGGCTGCATGTTTGAGTCGAACGTAAGTTCATCTCGAACATGGGCCATTCGTGTCTTCGGTGAACACATGAACGGTACGGGAGTTCGGCGGCCTGTTCATCCCCCCATGCCCTACAATGCACTGCGCCCTGACAAAAAAAAAAAAAACAACAGTGATGATCAAATACCACCAAAGGAATTGGTGTGAAAAAAAGATAAAAATTTCATTTCGGTACAGCACTGCATGACCACACAATTGCCAGTTTAAGTAGCTCAGTGCTGAATAGAAAAGAATGGCTAGGTCATGAAAGGGGTAAAACCTTCTGGAAGTGAAGTGGTTGATGGTGTAGACCCAAAGCAGTTCCGCAGGTCAAGATTAGTACTAGATTTTCTGTATACTTGTTTGAGATAAGAAGACACTATTGAAGCCAGAGACAGTTAGATAAGTTGTATATTTAGAAGGCATCAATGGCATCTCCATCTTTTTCTTCAGTACAATTTTCCTGGATAAATATTGAGTGTACCCTCTCTTAATTGCCAGACGTGCTCCATACGGTTCAGTTATTTCAAAGGAAAAGCACATTTCGTATGGTTTCTCTTCCCAGAAGTGCAGATGTAAAACAGATGAAATACTGCTGAATAACTCAATCGCCTTAGGGGTCTAACTTTGGAACTTCGGCAGAGAATACATCTCAAGGAACCGATGACCCAAAGACTTTCTTTCACATGTAATTCATCGATACTTTTCCCTCCAGAGACAGCGATGAAGTGGCGAGTGATGAGCTCAGGCTTAGTCCTATATTACACATTGATTTATATGATGACATTTCATATTGATCACTCAGTACAGTATATCAGCATCAAAACACAATCTGAGCCAGTGCTCTCAACAGTTCTGTTATTAGCGGTGGCCTAATCCAATGAACGGTGTGTGTTAGCTGCTTGAATGTTACAGCCTGCAAAGTGTGAATCTTAAAGGACAAGAAAAATGTGGTGAACTGTATTGAGGGATGGAGTAATGTAATGTCAGAAATGTCCAGGTAGCTTGCAGAGACTAAAGATTTAAAGCTGAATTCCAGGTCAACATCTAAAAACACAGATAATACACCATTTTGCCTGCCAAAGGATTTCTATCTTTATTCGCTTGCCAACAGATCACTGCAGCTTTACTGCTACAGTGCAGGACGGTTGTGCAAAATCACGTGTATATATGTGATGTTGCATTTCTGGGTAGTGGGCACACCAGGGGCGGACTGACAACTCATGTGGCCCCCGGGCAATAGGGGATCATGGGGCCCCTGTGTCCTTGCCCAAACTCAAAAAAGCCTATGTCTGCTTTTGGATTTATTGCTGAAACTTGTACTTGAGGAGAACAATGAGGTATGGGATACTCCAAAATGTGAAAGTAAACATTTTCAGAGGACACTTTCTCTAGATGATGGCAACACAGTCTTTCACTCCCAGCTGTGGACCGGAGAATATTAGGCTCAGAATTAGCAGAGGCACCTCTCCACTAGCTAGTAGCAAAGCATTGTTTCAATCCAAGCTGTAGACCAGGAGAACATTAGAGCATGGGTAGAGCATGTATGTAGACTGGAACAGTCTAAGGCCACATGTACACGAGACACTTCTGAATGATGGAAACTGACTTCTGGAAAATGTAGGTTAAAAAACGTCTATTTAGCCACGTTTGCATAATGCATTTATGAGCGTTTTAGAAGCGTTTTTTAAAGATAAGCACAGGAGAACCTCCCAAATGCCCAGAATGCACTGAAAAGTGGTAAATTATTAACTATTTCAGACTGTTTCAGAGAAATACAGAGAGTAGAAGCAGAGACAGCAGTATGTGTTGAGATTAGCTTAGGTGTGAGTTGCTCATTAACATTTCTATTGTTTGCAAGGGTGGGAAAGGTGTCTGGTGAAGTCATTAAAGCCATCTGGCAGGGGGTCTTCATGAGCAATTTGAGGTGTGCATGGTCATTAACATATCTTTTGTTTCCAAGGGTGGGAGAGGTCTGAGGTGTGCATGGTCATGAACATATCTTTTGTTTCCAAGGGTGGGAGGGGTCTGAGGTGACAAAAGTCATTAACATATCTTTTGTTTCCAAGGGTGGGAGAGGTCTAAGGAGTGAATTAATCATTACAATGTGTGACACACTTCATAGGAACATCCTGTTTTAAGTGTTTTGTCCATCTGAGTACCTTGAAAACTCTTTGCATGCATTTTTCATGATGAAAAAAGGCTCTGAACAGCATCGGGAACTGGAAGAGTTAAAAAGAATTTTCAGACGCAAACACTTCTAAACACGATTTTCCGTGTCTACAAGCGTTTACAAGCGTTCTGCGTTTGAAACGCTGATAACATCGACTGCTGAACGCAAGTTTGGTGCGTTCAAAAAAAACGACTGTAAACTCGACTGCCTGTAAATGACTGTAAACGAAGATGTGTACATGGACACATAGGAAAACATTAGGGAGAGTTCAGGGGCTGCTGGCAAAAACACTGAACATCTCCTAAACATGACTTTATCAGCTGCAGTGTACATGAACCAGGGGCGGACTGACCATTTGGAAACTCGGGCACTGCCCGATGGCCCGGGGTCAGTAGGGGGCCCCATGAGATGCCCCTGGTACCTTTTTTATAGGCTTTTTTGAGTTTGGGCAAGGACACAGGGGCCCCATGATCCCCTATTGCCCGGGGGCCCCATGAGTTGTCAGTCCGCCCCTGACATGAACCCTACATTTCCCTGCAGCTGACGACCACAGTATAGGTTTGGACAATGATGATGAGTAGACTGAAGCATCCTGAGGTCTTGCAGCTGAAGACCATCCATGTGGAGCACCAGCCCTGTTATAGTGTGAACCACTCAGCATGGGTGCAATTCACAGAATTCTTTTCATTTTCTCAAGGCTTGCAAACATTTTCTGATTGGAGGAGATGGAGAATGTGACATCACTGTCCCATCTCTCCATATCATCCTATCACAAATGCTTTCATTCATTGAAAAAATGCAAAACAATCTCTGAATGGTGCCCATACCAAGCAGCTAACCTCCTGTGTTTAGAATGCAGCAGGGTAGCCACTCGGCACGGGACCTGGAAGATAGCGGAGATCATTGGAGTAGCAATGTCTATTACGATGATTTTCAGTTTCTAGAGGGATTCTACAGGAATTATATATATATATATATATATATATATATATATATATGTTACATTGATCCAAGCTGGACCAATGTAATTTTGTAAAGATATCCATATTTGGAATTTTTTAAAACAATATTTTACAACTATTTTTTTTAGGTTTTTTCTTATCTAGCTCTGATACATTTACTGGAGATCTTTAAATGTGGAATCACCGATGCTCTTCTCTGCTACTTTTGCAGCCTTGAAATATGGATGGGCCCCTAACTCCTTCACCTACAATGCAGGATCTCCATTGTACATGATGATGTTGGTAAGCTGGTGAATGAAGAAGAAGAGAGAATGACTGTGAATACTTGTTCCATCAAGGTGGAAGCCTGGAGCTGAGGGATAAGATAAGTCATATTTTCTACTAGGTACCCCCTAAGCTAAATGATCATCGGGCCCCTTAACATTGGTCTGGGGGAGTCCAAATGTGATACAGTTCAGTTTTAAGGGCTTCTTTACACTGTAGAAAAAGGAGGCAGGTTTGAGGGTGGTTTTGAGACTTGCCACATGCTCCTAAATATTAGATATACAAATGTGAACACAATGTTGAACAGGTTGGTGGTGGTTTGGTAGGGTATTGGCCAAGCACAGCATCCAGAGTTTGGCTAAGGCTGCCTCCTCTTCTTTCTACCACTTGTCCCTGGGAAAGCTGATATCTTAAAAGCTGCCAAGAGAAATGGAAAGAATAATGCCATACAGATCCCCTCTAGTGGTTATTCTACAGCTATCTGATTCTATACAATAACACAAATATGGAAGAGCAGGTATGAAAATCATGAAATCAAAAAACTTTACCACAGCTGGTGTTTCTCGGGGGTCGAGACCTGGTCTCAGGCTGCTTCAAGTCCATCCCCACCATCAGGGGCTCTGGTGAACCAGCAGACTGAGGCTTAGACTCCACGCCCTGAGGGACTCCAACCTGTGGGCCACTAGAGGCTACCGCTAGTTGGCTCGTGACAGAACCATAAGGCCTGCCTGACCATTCCACCTTTCCAGCCCTGACTACGCCTGTATTCCTGCACATTTTGATATCAGTTGAAGGTTGGTTTTGTTTACTGTGCGTTTTGTATGTGCCAAGAGAAATGGCAAGAATAATGCCATACAGATCCCCCTCTAGTGGTATTCTACAGCTATCTGATTCTATACAATAGAAGGTATGAAAATCATGAAATCAAAAATGCCTTTACCACAGCTGGTGTTTCTCGGGGGTCGAGACCTGGTCTCAAATATGGAAGAGCAGGTATGAAAATCATCAAATCAAAAATGACTTTAGGACAAGCACTGCAACAGTAACTGTAAATATGAGCTTGCTGAAAATGCACAATTGTCTCACTTTAATTATTGACACTCATGAATTGCACAGGTTCTGTGGCTAATTCCAGATAAGACGCTGACTGAATCTAATTAGCTGGAGAACCCATGTAATTTTAATTTGTCAATAATTAAAGGGATGAGTTGGCAACCTTGCTCGTACTTGGCTTTTTCGCAAAGTAAATTTGGGATTCAATAATGACTTACAGAGCGATATAGGGAGTCATTACTTAACACTGATGTTTGCGATCCTGAATCTCTTGGGAAAATGAATCATTGTTGAATCCCTTGTCTAACGTCATTTATACATTATACAAACAAACATGAGTCCCCATGACTCTACCTGTCATGAATTACGGATGGAAAGAATTTTTATGATTTACTGATGGCTATAGATGAGCTAACTACTCTGCATGAATACAGAATCACTCGAAATCTGAAAGGTCAAAAGAATGGATGGAATTTTTAGGACTTGCTGAACTCCTAACTGCTGTAAAACCCACTCTTTAGGCTTTCAAGAATTTAAGAAATGATGGGAAATATTGTGAAGAGCAATGGAGACATAACCATCATAAAAATCTAATAAAGGTTCAAACCCTCCCCTACTGCATACAAAAGCAAAAAAACTGGCATGCGGTCCCCTCTGAAAGCCAGACCCCTATCTAGGTATGCAGGCTGTCTGGCCAGGAAAGTGAGGGGCAGCAAGCGTGCACTATGCTCATTTTCAGGCATAGAAGTATCAAAGTGTTTAGGCTCATCGTGCTATATGGGAACATAGAGATAGCAACTGAGGATGAGTTTCAGGTTTCATCAACCATGACTTAGACCTGAACCTGTGTTGTTTGCAGTTTGACAAAAGGATGCGCTAAATGTCCAGATCTGGTCAGTTCGCCACCTGCTCGAACATCCAGCTAGTGCAGCCAAAAGTCATTCATTCATTATTACCGCCACTAATTTAAGATTCTGATGGTCTGCCCGCAAGCTTGTTTCAATTTGTAAACAAGCTGATGGGCATTCCAGATGGCATGATTGACCAAAAAAAGGCCATAGTCATATTTGGTCAATGACAGCCAAGTTCACTGGAGCTGCTGTTTTATATTCCAGCAGCACTGGGGAATTGTCATTTGCGGTGAGAATCTGACAGAAGAGGATCGTCGTGCCCAACATGCAGCTCGTCAGCTCTCTAAGTACAGCCTGCCATGTTCTTAACTGGGTCCCCCACCTATTTGGCACCTTTTGGGCAGTTTTCAGGGTGGCAGCAGGGTGCCAGAACACTCTTTTCCTTCCAGTACATGGCACTGAAAGAAATCTACGCCAGATGGGCAAAAAAGAGAGAACGGTACAAAATCATGTGATCAGATAAGTGAATGGTGACCACGAATGTGGAGGAAACTGGATAACAGCACTGCCACTGACCAGCAATGGAAGTTGCATGGGGGGTTAACAGCACTGTAATTGACTAGAAATGGGAGTGGGGGTTGGAGGAGTGGGCTGGGGGGGGGTGGAGGAGTGGGCTTAACTATTTAACAGCACTGCCACTCACCAGAAGTGCAAAGAGGTGGGGTTAGCAGTACAGCCCCTGACCAGCAATGCAAGGGTACGATAACAGCACAGCCAGTGACCATCAGTGAAATGGGGGCACCAGGGGCGGACTGACAACTCATGGGGCCCCCGGGCAATAGGGGATCATGAGGCCCCTGTGTCCTTGCCCAAACTCAAAAAAGCCTATGAAAAAGGTACCAGGGGCATCTCATGAGGCCACCTACTGACCCCGGGCCCTCGGGCAGTGCCCGAGTTTCCAAATGGTCAGTCTGCCCCTGGGGGGCACTGCTTCTGACACCAATGCTTAGTGGTTAATATTACAGCCACTAACTCAAAAGCTGTGGTTATTCTTGCAGACAAGGACAAGAGGGGTGAGGGTTATTATTGTGACCACTGACACCAATGCTGAGGGTTATTATTGCAGTCACTGGCCTGAAAAGGGAAAGAAAGGGGGGGTGGGTTGAAGGAAGGAAAGGAAGGGTGGGTGGAAAGAAAATAAGAAGGGGTGGAAGGAAAGAAGGGAGGAGTGGAAAGAAGGAAGGAAGGGAGGGTTGGAAAGAAGGAAGGGAGGGGTGGGTGTAAGGTAGGTTGGACTCAGGTGACTCATTCAGATTCATCAGAGCTGTCGGCTGCTGTGTTCAGTTTCCTACCCACGCCTCCTATGAAGCTGCACGGACTGGAGTGTGGATGGGCACAGGGGGAGGAAAAGCAGATCCAGCCTCTCTCCCCTCTTCTCCAATTTGTGTGGAGGATGGAGGGAGGGGCTGGGCATTGAGAAGAACACAGAGGCAGTGGGAGGGATGGGGGGGGGGGGGTAGAAAGAAAACTGAGCCATCAGGTATGTTTTTTTTCAGCGGTGGGGGTGGTGACAAGCAGCGATCTCCTGTATGACTTTGAATGAAGCAGCTGGAAGCTGATGCTCCTCCTCTCCCTCCCTGCGGCTTCCAGCAGCTTCATTGAAAGCCATACAGGAGATCGCTGCTTATCACTGCCTCCACCGCCACCCCTACCACACACCCCTAGTCCCGACACTGCTCTCTGCCCTTACCTTATTTCCACTCGAGGGTTAGTGGAAATTTCTAGGGCTGCAGGGATGGTTGGCAACTCTCCTCTGCGGGGGTTAAGACCTCCCCCTTATATACCCCTGCTAAAAAGGGTGGGGTGCACACTTTGATGTCATGTTGCCATGAAGACCGCCCTGCTCAGCGGCGGATCTGTCATTGCAGGCTGGCGGTCCGAAAGGGAGAGCTGCTGGAGCCGTTCTCAGACCGCAGTCTGCCATTTAGTGACCGCTGGTCTACTGTAAACTGACAAGTCAACAAGTTTTATAGGTCTACAGGTGCTCTTTAAACCCAAGCATGTTTTGGTTCATCCTGCTGGCAACGATGAAGAATTTGATTCAGTGGTTATCCTTTATATTTTAGAAAGATGACACATTATAGTTTTATGATTTTATGAAGAATGCATAGTTTTAAGATGTTATACCAAGATTTATGGTCTTTCAATATTTTCCACAACCAAGGACAACTGCAAATACCTTGACATTTTCTGGCTGTCAAACACAAGAAGATTCCTAAAATAATGGTTTTAACATTGCATTGATAGCAGCTGTATTGGCAAAGATAGTTTATTACAATTCTTTAAGATTTTGACTTAAACTGTCAGGCAAGTTCATTGAGGCTAGACTTGTTGCATGTTTGGGGCCATTTTTTTCATGATGCCTCCTATTTGACCTTCTACTTTTACTTTTGCTTTTGCTTCTGCTTATTTCATTTTCTTTTGTTTTGTTGGTCATGTTTAAAGGGAAATTGTGCCCAAACTCAGTACTGAGATGGTTATACCCGGATCATGGTTCAGGTTACAACCATTATCCCAGTACCATCATTTTTAGCAGCCAATTTCTTTTTTTTTTAAGTCCGCAAACGTGCAAACTACAACGAAAAACCCGTAAGTGATCACAAAAAAGTGCAAGTGCGAA